GTTTCTTCTAATTATAAGCCATGGGCAAAGCCCAGATAGCAGAGTTTTTCACTATACTTCTCATGAGCCATGCCCGTTCAGCCTTAGCTATTCATTCTAGTCAGTGATACTGTCTGCATTGGCAATGAGACCACATCACTTGTAGGGCAGTTCCAAAGTTGTCTCTTCTGAGGAGAATGCAGTATCTCTAACTATGCACAGCTTTATTCCCTCCCCTCAACCCAATCAATCACAGTAAATAATGGGCTTACAAAAACACTACCACCACCCCCAGTTTGAAGCTCACCAGCCTCTTGCCCACTTATTGGATAAGTTTGCTCAAATATGATTTAGTCGTTTTTGGAGTCTGGCTTTTTTCTTTGCCTCTTTGCATTGTCCAGTACCAAGAATAAAATGCAAACAGGTGTTTTAAAAGGTGCCAATCCCCTTCATGGGGTCCAGTAGTTTCTGCCTGTAGGAAGGAAACCTTAATTCTGCAAAGGCCAGTCATAATTCTGGAGATATGAGAGCAAGGTGCTCTATACATGTTCAGAGGCATATATATGCCAGGGCTGACAATACTCTGAAAAAGCTTCATGGAACTAAGCCCCAGCTATGCTATGATTTAGCTTAAAATGCTGGGATCCCCTGGATGAACCCCTGGAGAAGAGAGGAAGATGACCCCAAGGCAACCACTTGGTGGTAATCGTGGAGGTGAGAGAAGCAGGCCGAATCAGACTGAAGGAGCAACAACAGCATTTGGGCAACAGAGACTTGCAGGATCTCCTCAGTGAGATAGGAAATCTGTGCAATTCTGGATTTCTCATATGGAGAGTTGGGGGGGGGGTTAAGTTATCCCAAAGATTCACAGGCTCAGTCCACAGATAATTAACCTAGTCAGTTAGTCATAATGCCTGAATGTGGAAACATACTAAGTTAACACTTAGTGTTAACTTTGGTTAGGGTTTTGTTTTGGTTAAGCATGCTATGGAAACCCTGCCCACTTAAGACTATCCATTGCATGGTATGAACCCAGAAAATAATTTGAGTCATCTGGCTGCATTCATAGTTGAGGTTTATAAGGTGAGGGAGGGAACAGTGCTCTGGTCAGTGGCTTCTATAGGTAGTGGGGAATGCAGAGATATGGATGGCTCAAACTCTGTTGGCCTTTTGCAAAGCAGTGAAGACTTGGCTCTTCCCCAGGCATTGGGGCCAGGATGTTAATTACTGGAGTTCTGCTGTGGGTGTATATGATGGGGATACTGAAATTTTATTGGGACCTTGATTTCTTTTTGTTGTTGGATTTGGTTTACCATCTAGAATCTGATGGTACAGATAGGCATATATTGGATGAAAGGATGGATGGATAAATGCCAAGTAGTTGTTGAAGAATTCCAGGGTTTGGTTCTTGGAATATTCAATTAGTTCTAGGAGAGGAGGGAAACCTAGTAGTTTGACATGAAATTTTCTAAAAGCTATAGTTTGGGGAAGAGACATCATTTTGGGAGCCTCAGTGGAACCTTGTGCTTTCATCCTGGAAGGATAGTACAGAATCACTATAAACACTTTAGAGGTATTCATACAACCATGTCAGCTAAAGCCAAAGCAGCTACATTTGCCCAGTGTGCTGTATTTGATTTTGTATTAATCTTTAGGTGGTGTGTGTTTTTTGTTTTTTTTGCAGCTTAGCATCTTGTGTGAACCCCAACCATTGAGTTAGTTTATGCTTCAATATACTGCATGAATGCTTCCAACTGATTATTTTACTAACCAACTTTAAGCATTTTCCATCTTCACAGATGCTCCATGTGCTCCCATAGTGTGAATCGTGGTGCACACCCACCCATTTTTCAAGTGAGATGAGAAGCAAATCTGGAGGCAAGTTTGGGAACCTCATGCTTGACACACAGGATGGACCCTGTCTTGCTGCATTTCCCAGCTCACACTAAAACGCAACCAAGGGCCCAGACAGCACTTGCAGATCTGACCAAACGAGAGTCAGCAAAAAGATACAGATACAGTTTGGGGGGAAAAATGACCTTTGAGTATCCTTTAGGCATATTTTTTAGTAAAAGCTAGGACGGAAATAGGATGGGGAAGTCCTCACTTAAATCCCTAAGATGCTGCAGGCGATGTGACCTGGAAGACAGGGAAGGTTGCAGCCCCTCCTGTTAACACCCATTTGCAGAGACAAAAGGAAACCCCATCAGAACTGCAGGAACAATTGGCCAACCTCCCAGAGGTACCAGCCAATACGTATGCAGGAGGTCACCTCCACCCAGTAATAGTAATGGCCTTTTCTGTGCCGCTTTGTTGTGCAATGGAGGAGCTTATTAGCTCAAGCTGCCAGCCCTAAACACCAAAGACCCCCTCCTGGGCTTCATCATTCCACAGTTCAGCCACTCCTCCTTCCTGACCAGATGGAGCAGGGTCTGACAGCCTATGCAAAGGAATCCGACACATGACAGCGCATAAACCTAAGCAAGAGGCCCAGCAGACACGGCAGCCAACAGAAATCCATTACTGCCACAAGGTCCAGAGTTCACCAGCAGACAAAATATTAGCATATGGCCTCTGTCTCCCCAGGAAGTCACACCTCTTTTCATTGAGCCTCAACCAATATTTACCACCACTATTGCTGGATTAACTGTTATTAAAGGGGTGTTTGTGAATTAATCTTAATAGTGAGCCTCTAAACATATCAGATGATATTTGGGAAGTGTGACTTCCTGCTCCACCTGGAAAATGATGTCCTGCCTCACTGTTTTTTCCTTCCCCGATGCACAAGAGCTTGCTTAATGCTGTGTATTTGAACCACACTTCAGAAATGCTGGTATGAATGAGGCTTACCTTGTATTTGGTTGCTAGAAGTTCAGTGGCCTCTTGCTCCCTCCTGAGTTCCTCAATCATCTTCTCTTTCTCCTCCAGTAGCTTTTGCTTCTCCTCATTCACCAGGCTGTGGTCATCCTGGATTGCTGCTTTCTCCTCCTCCAACCTCTCTTTTTGCTCCTTCAGGTAATTTTTCATATTTTTTTCCAGCCCTCCATCCTCATTGTCCTCTGCTTCTTCACTTTCAGGGGTTCCCTCCCCATCTATGGTTTTCTTTCTCCGGCTACTCCTCCTCCTCTTCTTGCTCAGCATTCCACGTTTCTCCAACTGGGCCTTCAGGCGGATGATCTCTTCCTGGAACTCCCGCAAAAGTGTATCTTTGGGATCCTCATTGATTCGTGGCTTGTTCTTGATATTTTTGGCCCTATTAGCAAATCGGAGGGTTGATAAGCTCTCATCATAGCTGTGGGAAGCTGGGCCCAGCGTGGCTACCATGATGGTCTTAGCATTGCCACCCAAAGAATCCTGCAGAAGGCGGGTGAGCTTGGAATCCCGATATGGGATATGGGTGCTTTTGCCATCCACCAGGGCTGAAATCACATTCCCCAGAGCAGAGAGGGAGAGGTTGATTTTGGAGGCTTCTTTGGGTCGTTCCCCTGGGGCACCCATCTTGCTCTGCCTTTCACTCCCAGCCAAATCCACCAGGTTGAGTTTTCCTACCCGGATGTGATCCTCTCCATCTGGGCCAGTCTCACTGCACTCCACCGTGATGACAAAGATGGCGTGTGAGCGAGAGCTGTACTCGTTCATGTTCGTGCTGCCCACTGATCGAGTTTGGTTCCCCAAATTCATGACATGTTCAATTTCTTTGACATTCTTTGTCACAAAGGACGAAAGGTCCTTGATGTAAACACCCGTTTCTGGGTTCTCTTTCAGCTCCATTTTCTTACTCTGGTCTTTTGCCAGGAGATCACGGATCTCTTCTTGATAGATCTCCAAATAGGAAGCCCTGACCAAATATTGCTGGTTCTGCGAACGGGAGATATGGGTGAAAATGTGCTCAAAGGAGATGGGGATGACACCTCTCTTCTCAGGGTCAGCCCAGATCCCTTGCATAGTGTAGGTCTTCCCGGTACCGGTTTGACCATAGGCGAAGATGGTGCCATTGAATCCTTGCAGAACTGAATCTATCAAGGGCCGGACCGTTTCATCATACAGGTCTGCCTGCTTGGAGGTGGCATCATACACAGCATCAAAAGTGAATGTTTTGGCCAGTTCCCCTGGAGACGCCTTGGGGTTCCGGATAGTCACCTGGCCCAGCTTCACATCCATGTCCAGGATCCTCTCGTAGCCGGTGGCTTCCTCTTTCCTGTTCATGGGGCGGCAGCGGACCACCACTTTCAGAGTCTCGCTGACCCTGGGCCTATTAGCCATCGCGAAACCGAGACGGGTCCTGCTCCGGGGCTTTCCTCGCCCTTCGGCTGTCAGGGCTCGGCAGCGACAGCACCTTTTCCAGGCATGGGGTCCTCTCCGCTCCGAGGGGCTGCTGTGGCTGCTCTGCTGCGGCAGCGGAGTTGACAGGCTGGCGCGGCTGTGGCGGCTGCGGCTATTTGCACCGCCTCTTCGCACAATAGGTACAGCTAGGCGTGCTCCGTTCACGGCATCCCGCCTCGGACCACAGACCACCCATGCCGGCTCATCCCGCCATGAAGGGGAAGGAAGGAGAGAGGTAGAGAAACGGCGCGATTTTAGCCTTCTCCGTAGGCGGTGGACGGCGAAGCCTCGCTCTGTCTCGGCTCGCTTTCTTCCTAATTTCAATGCCTTCGCAGCGAGCCCATCAGCAGCTCCAGGCGATCCGAAGGGCTCGCGAGTCGCAGCACTGGATGCTCATTCATTGCAGCTCAGCAGCGGCGGCGGTGGTAACAGCAGCTGCCGCCCTCTAACACGTAAGAGAACGAGGGAGGAAAACAGAAGGGAGGGGGAAGCAGCGCCCGGAGGGAGATGCTGCTGCTGCTGCTGCTGCTGCTCCCCGCCGCCGCTGTTGCTGCTGATCCGGGGAGGGGCGGGGAAGGGGGGGCTGCCGGCTTGCTGCTGGCTGCCCTGGAACGGAAAAGCCAAACGCGGGAGGGCGGAAAGGGGTGGGTGATACAGAGAGCGTCTCCTCATCCTCAGATGCTGCCCACCCCCAGAAGGGGAACACCAGCAGCTCCTGGCTACCCCGCCCACTGTTCGCAAAGCATTCTGGGGAATGTAGTCCTGCCTTTGTTGTCTTCTTCACACAGAAGGAGAAGGATGCAACTCTGAGCCGGATGACTTGTAGAAGGTAGGCTGGTGTGCGGGGTGGGGTGGGGGAGATGTTTCTTAAAGGGACAGGCGTATTTCGGCCATTCGGAGCAAAACAGGGAGATCCCCGGATCAAGAGAAGGCCATGACATATCAGAATTGTTCGGACATTTGAATCTTTGGGACCAGCAGCGCTTACGAAAACCTTTCCCTGAGTGGCTGCTACGTCTCCCAGACTCCTGGGCGTCACGGGGGCTATAATCTAGTAAAGAGTGGCTGATCTGAGCAGATTAATGAAAATGAATAGATATCATATTCCTTGAAAGCCTCTTTGAAAAGTAGGTCTCAGAGTCATTTTATATGTGGTTGTAGTGGCTGAGGCAAACCCAGGATTGGGTAAGACTAGAAAAGGCTTTTTTCTTGAGCCCAGGGAAGAAGAAAAAAATCAATTTGGAATGTGGAAGAGCAAAGCAGAAGGAAAGACAGTTCTCACACAGAAGGCACTGCCCAGCAAGTACTCCTAAACAACTCTCTAGCCTCGCTTCCTTACCAGATCTGGGCTGCAAAAACCTCTGGAAAGAGACAAGTTATTTGCTGTCACCTAGTGGTCATCCAGCAGTGGGTCTCCTAAGGTAAGAAAGTTCAGATGCCACCTGAAAAAAGTACCTGAGAATCTCCACAGAAGTCTCCTAAACTTATAGGGCCTTTTCATTTCCATGGATTACATTTTGGGCTTTTTTTATGGTCTACTTGAGGCATCATCCCTAAAACTGTCAGTAATAATAGAAACATTGAGATGTTAATAATACACACACATTTGAATTTTTTTTCTAAATCTCCACTTCCCATATCAGTAGCTGGCTGTATCTAGTTGAGTCTGGAAGTACGGATCTGACTTTACTAGTATTTAAATCAGTAAAACAGACTTGAATACTGGGCACTAGCTAACAAAATGAAATTCAATGGTGAAAAAAAGCAAGGTTGTACATTTATGCAAGAAAAACCAAATGCACAGCTATAGTATAGGTGGTATCTTGCTCAATAGTAGCAACTGTGAGAGGGATCTTGGAGTCCTAGTTGACAATCATTTAAATATGAGCCAGCAATGTGCTGTAGCTGCCAAAAAAAAAAGCCAACACAGTGCTAGGCTGCATTAACAGAGGGATAGAATCAAGATCAGGTGAAGTATTAATACCACTCTTCAATGCCTTGGTAAGGCCACACTTGGAATACTGCATCCAGTTTTGGTCACCATGATGTAAAAAAGATGTTGAACCTCTAGAAAGAGTACAGAGAAGAGCAACAAAAATGATTAGTGAACTGGAGGCTAAAACATATAAAGAACAGTTGCTGGAATTGGGTATGTCTAGTTTAATGAAGAGAAGGACGAGGGGTGACATGATAGCAGTGTTCCAATATCTCAGGGGCTGCCACAAAGAAGAGGGAGTCAAGCTATTCTCCAAAGCACCTGAGGGCAGGACAAGAAGCAACAGATGGAAACTAACCAAGGAGAGAAGCAACCTAGAACTATCTGTACAGTACTGTAGCTGTTTTGCAAAAATATCTAACTTCTTTGCAGCTTCTGTTCCTTTTTGGAAACTGAATTACCTGCTCTACCGACTTACAATGCATTATTAATGATTGCTGATCCAGCCACTATCCAAAAGCAGGCTGACCTTTACAAGCAACCAACAATAATAAATTGAAGTAAAATCAAAATACTGGCCAGAAAACATTGCAGGTGGGATGCAGAGGATGAGGGAGCTGAATAACCAAATAAAGCCATAGGGTCAGTGGCACTGCTTTCTCCTTTTACAATGCTCTGGCAATTTTGCTAAGCACATTTTAGCCCAAGCAATGCTGTATTTTTCCTCCTGCTGATTTAGCACTTCAGGCAGAGGGCCAACTTGCAGTCCCTTCCCACCCAGTGCTAAAATTGTAAAGAATCATGCAGATTTTGCAGCACTCATTTTTCAGTAGTTCCCCATGGTCTGTAGTGTACTGGTTTGCAACTGGAGAGTATTACATTGGGCAAAGCTGATCCAAATGCTTCCTGCATGTGGGAAAGAGGGGATCCTAACACTGCAAGCCTTCATCTCCTTAGCTGTATCCCTTTCTTTAGCCTCATCTTTTAAAACATGGTGATAATATATATTATAGAAACACCAACAGTTTAACCAAAGATCCATATGGATCTATATTCTGTTTTCATAATGACCAAGCAAATCACTCTGGCAAATCCATTGACAGAGAATGAAATGGCAGTTCTCTTGCTGTTTACCTGGCATTCAACAGCATATTGATTCTTTTAAAAACATGAAAATGCCATTAGGTTTTCATATCTAATAGCTACTTCCATCACAGGTTTACTTAGCTTCCTTTGAAAAAGTAACATACTTTAGAGTCATACTTATCATCCTGGATCCATTCATGTAAATTTCATGACAATAACACCAAAATGGTTACCATTGCCTTCTTCCTGGACTGTTTCCCTTATTATTCCATTCTTACTTATTTCCTTGTGATTTCTCTTTCAAGCACTAGATAGCTCTAACCCTGCTTAACTTTCTGAGATCTCCCAAGGTCAGCTACAGTATAAATCTATTGCTATCACTGTATCTTGTGGCAGTGTTACATTAAATGAGTTATGTTATGGGTTGAAGCCAACTAGCTGCTTTTTTAAAAAAAAAAATCTTGCCTTTCCTTGAGGATAAAAATAGGCAAGTGGACATCTTGGAAATAAATCTGACTCTCCTGGGTTTCCTGTCTAGTATTTTTCCTAACTGGAGGATTTCTTACCGTTAGGGTTGCCAGCTGGTGAAGGGACAACGACATTTGAAAGTCCTGCTGGCTCACGTCTGTACCCTGATCTTACCCGCGCAAGGATGAGATCCATTGTAGCATTCTTGGATGAGACCTCAATTTTCTACTATAAATATATAATGTAGTGTAAGATCAATCTTTTTATTGGAAAATAACCAATGTATTGCCAATTTTTAAAATGGAAATCAGGAACTCATAAGTCTCATCGGTTTATGGAGAAATGCATTATTAGCTGTAATATTATTAAGCAAAAGACCAAGTCTTGGTTGAAAAGGGTCAACATGATTTCTGCAAAGATGAGTCTGAATTCACTTATATTTGAGTTATGTGGCAGTACCTGCAGGGCCACATACTCCAACAAGCTCAATCTATTAAAATACAGGTAGTCCTGAACTTATGACAACAATTGAGCCCAAAATTTATGTTATTAAGTAAGAAATTTGTTAAGTGAATTTTGCCCCATTTTATGACTTTTCTTGCCACATTTGTTAAGTGAATCATTGCAGTTGTTAAATTAATAACACGGTTGTTAAGTGAACCTGGTTTCCCCATTGACTTTTCTTGTCAGAAGGTTGCAAAACGTGATCACACGACTCCGGGATACTGCAACCGTCATAAAAGTGAGTCAGTTGTCAAGCGTCCGAATGTAAATCATGTGACCATGGGGATGCTTTGACGGTCGTAAGTGTGAAAAACGGTCATAAGTCCCTTTTTTCAGTGCCCTTGTAACTTTGAGCAGTCACTAAATGAACTGTTGTAAGTCGAGGGCTACCCATATCTAAGGAGAAACCACTCACAGTCCCACATTTCTGCAAGGTTGGAGGGAGTGAAGCTGCTTTTTTGTATTGGTTCTGGTGCCTGGGAACAGCTGCCTGACAAAAATCAGGGTAGCTCCTTCTTGTTAATTGTTGAAGACCAAACTACCATGTGCATGAGTATTCTCTCGCATATGATACCATCTTTAATTATTTTCCCTATTTTTTTTGTCCTTATTGTATTGTTTTCCTTTGCTTAGGTTGCTTTTGATGGTCCCTATTTGGAGTTTTAATCAGACTGTTGATGTTTTAACTTCCAAGCTGTAAGCTACCAAGAACCTTTTGATATGCATGTACTGGGGCAGAAGCTTCATAAATAAGTAATCAATACAATACAAGCCACTTCCTCAGGGAAGGAAGGCTGAAGAGATGGGTTGGCAGATAAAATAAAGTCATCAGAGAAAACATTACTTTGTTCTTATCTGGCATAGAAAACACAGTGTGTAGGCTGTTTTGTGTAAAATGGATGCCCCCTTTATAGGTTGATGTTTTGGTCTACATTTGGTGCTCTGGATCAGGGGTCCCCAACCTCTGGGCCGCAGCATGCCAGCAACCAGGCTGCACAAACAAGCAAAGCCCCAACTGCGGGATGCAGGCAGCACACAAAATCACACCCCCTTTGGTCTGTGGAAAAACCTCTCTCTACGGAACCAGTCCCTGGTGTCCAAAAGGTTGGGGACCTCTGCTCTTGATGATACTGGTGACTGAAGAGTAATTACAATGCCAGATTTCCAATACTCTAGATGAAAGCAAAATAGCTTCTTATAATTTTCTACATGTCCAAGAATTTTAACTGATTTGGTCTTTCATTAAATATGCAAACAGATTGCTATTTAGGAGAGCCATAAAAATAGTGTTTTTTGCTGCAGGAAGCAGAAAGAATTGGATTGCATGAAGGGACTCTCTCTCCGGAATTATAAGGCTTCCTGGTTTTGGATATAGCAGTTAGGGAATCAGAGTGCCCAAACCTCTCTCTATATATTTATACAATAATTGAGTTCAACCATCATGCTAGACCTAGCAAGGCTTCCTTAATTTTGGCTCAGTGGGTTGTACAGTACAAATCAAGCCAATTAGTCAAGTCCTTAAATTACAGACATTTGTTGGGCAACTCTTTGAAGTTACAATAGCTCTGAAAAAAAGTGACATCCAATTGGTCCTTGCACTTAGACTGTTGCAGGATTCCTATGGTCAATCAAAACATTTTAAAAGTCAGACGAGAGACTCGAAACTTTTCTTAGTCAAAAGCAACCTGAAATTGAAGTCTAAAATATTTGTCTTAATATAAAAAGGAAAAAAAAATATAGCCTATCTTCAGTGAAAGGGAGATTGGCAAATGAAGGTAGAATATCTTGGTGGATGTCCCAAAGGATGTCTGAAGAACTGAAGAAGCTTCTTGGATAAGAAGCAAAATGTCTTCAAGGAAAAACAAAGTTGCCTTTTGAAAAAAACATCTTTGGGATAACCATGACCTGGATGACTGAGAATCTCCAGAGACCTTGGTGGATGCTATTATTTTTATTCAAGTTAAAACAGAGATATATTTCAAAATGGATATCTATATGTAGCGGAGCTGGGCCGATAATGGGGCCCGGCTGAGAGGTTTTGCAGGAGCCCTGCCGATCTGGCAGGGACATGAGGAGCTCCGGCAGCTGCTGTGGGTCTGGCAGCAGGGCATGGCTCTGAGGAGAGAAAGAGACCAGAGGGAGGTGTTCTTTTGGTGGGAGATTGGGCAGAGCCAGCTGAGGAAAAATAGAGAGAGCTTAGTTAATGGAGCCTGCCATCCAGAGCTAGCTGAGTGAAGAAATAGAGAGTAAGAAGGCCAGACGAAGTGAGGGCAGAGACAGACGAGGAGAGTGGATAAAGGAGGGCCCCTGTGAGCTCCAGATAGGCACTGATTACCATTGGCTTAGGCAAGTTGCTGTCACCAGAGACTGACTACCATCACTCGAGGCAAGTCATCATTACCAAAGACTGACTAACATTGTCTTAGGCAAGTTGCTGTCACCAGAGACTGATTACTATCACCCTAGGCAAGTCGCTGTTACCAGAGACTGACTAACATTGTCATAGGCAAGTTGCTACTATCAGAGACTGGCTAACATCATTCTAAGCAGGTTGCTGTTACTAGGGATTGACTACTACTGTTGTACACCAGCTGCTGCTACCAGGATGTGACTACCATTGTTTCCTCTAAGTCTTACTGCTTGAGGTCAACTATCATCATCCCATATGAGTTACCGTCGAAAGAGATCAACCATCACTGCCCTATGTGCATGACTGCCAACTGTGACTGAACATCACCGTGCTACGTGCCCTGTCAGGCAGAGGTGCCAACATGAGAGACCCCTTGGGTCGGCAGCCAGCCAAAGAGGAGGCCAGGAGGGCTTGGACTTTAGTGGTCCCTTCGGGGGTGGTGCTATATATAGATGGACCAGATAGTGACTGAGCTTATAGTATTAGTGCCCAACATACAGATAATCCTCAACTTACAACTGTTTGTTCAGTTACCGTTCAAAGTTCCTGAAAAAAAAGTTTTTCAGTAGCTTATGACTGAAAAAAAGTGTTCACACTTATGACTGTTGCAGCATCCCCATGGTCACGTGATCAACATCTGGGTGCTTTGCAACTAGCAGGTATTTATGATGCTTGCAGTGTCCCAAGATCATGTGATCTCCATGGGGGTTGGAATTAAACACATCATCAGCCTAGAATTGTTGCATTCCCACAAATGGCCCAAATCCAACCCCTCTTGACCCCCATCTTGTGCCAATTTAGTGCTGAACTTTAGTTGACTCGATTTTTGTGTATAGGCTTGAATAAATCTTCTTTGTGTAGTGTAACAACTGGTAGTGATTCCTTGCACCTGACACGGTGGGGGACCAGGTTGATTCAGAAACCTCCTCTCCTAGCACACATAGTCTTTGGACTGATGCTATGACTGGATTTATATATTATACAGAAGCATGACTTGCTTAATTAAGCTTAGTGAATAAACAATACAGATAGTCCTTGACTTACAACCATAACTGGGACCAGAATTTCTGTTGCTAAGCAAGGTAGTTGTTAAGTGAGTTGTGCCTCTGAATGTATGACTTTTTTGCCATGATTGTTATGCAAATCACTGCAATTGTTAAGTGACTCATGCAGTCATTAAGCAAGTCTGGCTTCCCCCATTCACTTTACTTGTCAAACCTGGCTGGGAAGGTCACAAATAGCAATAACACTTAGACTTATATGCTGCTTCACAGTGCTTTACAGGACTCTCTGAGCAGTTTACAGAGTCAGCCTATTGCCCCCAACAATCTGGCTCCTCATGCTACCAACCTCGGAAGGATGGAAGGCTGAGTCAACCTTGAGCCGGTCAGGATCGAACTCCTGGCAGTGAGCAATGAGTTAGCCTGCAGTACTGCATCCTAACCATTGTGCCACCACATCTCCTAATGGCGAACGCGAGCCTAAATGCATATCAGTTGCCAAGTGCTTGAATTTTAATCACATCAGATTACAGGTAGTCTGACTTAGGACCGGTTGCTTAGCAACCATTCAAAGTTACAACAGCCCCCCCCCTCACAAAGCTACTTATGGCCTGGTTTCAAAGTTCTAATGTTGGTCCCCCTTCAGTCATATGACTGAATTTTGGGCACTTAGCAACTGGCCTTGTATATACAGTGATATACAACTTCCACAGTCACTTACCGACAGCCACATTCACTTAAGGACCACTGCATTTTGTAAAATCAGGTCCAGTCACGTGGTGATCTGTTTTACAACCGTAACGACTTAACAACAATAATTGCCAGGCTCAATTACAGTCGTAACTTGAGGATTACCTGTAAACCAAGATCTCATTCATTTTATATGTATTTGCCTGTTCATTTGTTGAATTACCAATTCAAAGCACTACACAAAGGGCTGAGGGATATTTTATTAGTGGTATTATAGAGATCAGTCTTTCAGTGCCTTGCACAGTTTAGCTGCTGCTGCATTTCCATGAAACATATTGTTTTTCAGAACTCAGTTAAAAGTACATTTTGGCTGGATAGAGTGAATGTATTTTTGAACCAAACCTACTATCCTTGGAACACCATGCGAGAGGTATATATGAGAGGTACACAGGCATTGGGGTTTTGTTCCTTTCAACTTCCAGGAAGTGTCCTGGAGCTCCCTCTGGTGGTTGATTACACAAGACTATGCATCCCAGCTTGGACCTGCTCTGTGTTCATGACCAATCGCAAATTAGAGAATAAATGTAAGAAACTCAGTAGAAAACTGTTCAGGAAGTTATAAAGTGGGTAGCATCATTAAACTTTTTTTTCTTAGTCACTGGTAGAGTCACTATTGCAACTGGATCCTCTCTCATCTCCTGAAGTACAGTGATGGACCTCCCAGATAACTACTTAAACATTTCTGCAGGGACTGGATGCTTCACTATTGGGAATACCCAAAGGACAAGGAGAAAGTTTGGAAATTAGGACAGAACATTAATATGATCATAATGAATATGATACACAATGCCATGTTTTGGGATGTTTTTCTAGATTTTATAGAATCCTACATGATTTCAAGGCAGCAATCTTCCATATTTTTTTCTTCCCCATTTCTGTTTTGTAAAACCCCTTTCTGAGTTTTGATGTTCAAGAGTTTCTGGCTACTCTCCTAGCATCCGGACCCTTTCATGATTCAGATCAGTGTCAAGATTCCTTCCAAAATGCTTTTAACAGATGCACTTTGTTGGCAGATCTGCTAGCTTTGCACTACCTAATTTTAGCAGAGGCTTCTAAGCAACAGCTTCACCACCCCCACCTCATATGCCATAAACAAATACATGGCCAAATGAAAGAGGGTCATATCTGCAGTGTTAATCATATGTTTTTGCATTTGTAGGTGGATGGAGAAGTTACTAGTTGGCTGTCCGAGCCCAAAGACAACGCAATGAAATCCAATCAAATCTAACCCTTTATTTGCTTATACTTAATGGACAGAATTTTGTCAAACTAAAGCTATAACTCTGTACCCTAATAGATATAACCTAAGCCTAAGGGATTCTAGGGTGTGGCTACCCTGAACCTCTTTCCCCAATCCTCATCCAGTTCACGGTTCTGCAGTCTTTGAATTTGCATTTTTCTCTGGAATATATCGGGAAAGCTCTGCACTGACAAGATTCCCCTCCACTGCTTCTCCAGGTGCACATTCCATCACAATACCAGATTGGGGCTGCAGAAAACCAGATGACCATTTGATAGCAACAAAGAGCTACAAAAAGCCATTATTCTGTTGCCATGTAGTGGTCATCTAGATTTTGGTAGCTTCATATTTGCTCTTTCTTTGATCACAGGCAATATATCTTAAATGTCAATTGCTGAGAAGCAATTCTGAAAGTTGGCTACCACCCTCCTGTCCATCCTTGTGAGCTTGGCTAAAGCAACTAAATGGTTCCTATGTGACAGAGGAAACTATATTAGATGAATCTTGGTTCTGGTCCAGCAGGTTCTGATCTTAAAGGTTCAGCAATAAACATTCTAATAATGGGAGTATCAAAACATACCGCTTAAGGGGAAATAAGGGAAGGGAGAATGGTACAACTTAACACATGTACAACTATCTCCGGTATTCATTCAGCCTACTGAACCATTAAGCCCTTTCCTTCAGAAGAAAACCGTATTTGATCGGAACTATATTGGAAAATACTCTTCTTCAATAGGAGAAAGCAGTGATTCCCATTTGCAGAGAAGACTATCATCTGCTATTCAAGCAAACAATTCTGACATGTTCACTGAGGATTGGGTTTGTATTGAAAATCCAGATTGTAGTTCAATCTTGGTTCTTGGCTTCTTAGCCACCCCTTGTTCTTGATTTATATAGTCCAGCTCAGGTCCATGAGTTGTGCAAACCTGGACATTGCTAGCTATGTTTAGCAAACATTAGTCACTTTAGAAATGGTGATAGGATGCAAGAATAGCCACAAAGCAAAGCTACTACATTTTTCACTCTCAGATAATCCCATGGGCATGTGGCAGCTCATTATGCACTTGCATGAAAAAGAAAAGGAATGAAAAGAAAAGAAACTTGAAGTGCTGTCTCTCTGTCCACCAGAAGAGGAGCAGATACTGTACAATTTTCAACATGGGAAGAATAAAACTTCACATTTAAGAACTCAATAAAAACTACAAATCCCCTTGAATCAAATTAGATTCCTGATGATCTTATGGATACATCCATGTTGTTTTTATGTCAACTATGGAAATGGTTTATATATATTTTTTCCAGGATGTTCTTCCACCTTCTCAGATTAGTTTACATCCTGGGAATTCCCAGTACTCTCCAATACAACCAAGCCTGATCCTCTTTAGTTTTTTGAGATCAGGCATAGTCCAGTGATGCCATTAGCTGGGTCTAAAAATAGATATGTTTAATATTTTTAACGTTCCATGCTAGAGTTGGACATGGGGAGATAGCCAATCTTTCTATCGGGTACAAGGCTAAGGATGTCTACTTTGGTATTTTGCTCAAGATCATGAAAGGGAGAAGAAGAAAAGTTGATTCATCAGATGCTGGAACAAAATTAAAAATAAGATCCTGATAAAAAGGGAAGTAGAGAAACATTAACATGGAGAAAAGGATGAAGAAAATATATGAAACAGAGGATCTAGCAAGCAGGCAAGAGCAGAAGTAGTTCACACTGAAAGAAAAGACTATGTTCATACAGGTTCACAAGGTTAGTTATAAACCTAATGACTGCATTTGTAAAATAAAATTTGTTTAGTGTTAACGGCTAATATTTTTGTGGCTTAATGAGCAGCACAAGTCCAGCCTGGTGCTCAGTTTATCATTCCATATATTGTACCATAAAGGGTTGATTCAGTTGACTCAGAAATCAAATTTAACATATTGTGTGAATGCAGCCTACAGGTAAATGTGAAGAAAGGAGACCAGCTGAAAAGGCAAACCAAGGGCAGAAAGATTCAGGGTCTATTTTCAAATGAAGGGGTGCTTCAGCCTCCATCTCTAACCCATGTTGGGTGAAGAACCTCAGTGTCCTACACTAAGAAAACAATAGAAGCAACATGGCCAGGCTGTCATGCAAAGGAAGAAGAAAATTAAGTGCACAAAACCATTAAAGTCAGAGAGAGAAAGGTTACAACAGAGACCAGAAAATAAAGTACTATAATAATCAATATGATTAGAACTAAAAAGAGCCCACTTTAAAGTTTTGGTAGAGTCAGCAGAAAGAAAAGGATCTCTCCTACCCATTTCATAATGATGGAAGGAAATATTAAATCTGAACATACTGTAAGCATCGGAACCCAGAAAAGGAAAAAAATCTAAAACAATGTCCAAGCATTGCACTTCCAGAAAAGATAGGAAGGGAAGAGTATTAAGAAGAAATGAAAAGCTATGTACAGTGGTAGGCATTAGAAGGGAAAGCCAGACTTCCCCAGGTCCTGCTTAACTGGAGCATGTAATTGATTTAGAAGGACTGTGAGCTGAAGGAAATTCTCAGCATATGAAGGTGGGGTCAAGCAGTGAAAAAAATGGAGGAGGAGTTTATACAGCAGTCTGTGAGGTAACCTTCTGCTATATCCATTAAATTGCTGCACTGGGAGGAAATGTCTGCTAACTGGATCAGGGAAGAAGGATTAGACCCAACCCTTCCGTTCCTTAACATTTCTCAGCATAATCCACAGTGCAAGTTAGGACAGGAAAACTAGATGAAGAGAAAAAGGTAAACACCTTCTCACTCAAAACTTTTAGCTCTGTTTGCTTAGTCAGTTATCGGGGTTTACAAACACATATAACCATCAGTTTAGTTTACAGACTACAATGCTTTGGGTTCATACAGCCAAGCAAACTACATTTTGGCTGAAAGTGATATGGAAACCCAGTCCCCAATGAAAAGTAAAATACTGTGGCAGTACAAATCTGCTATGTCAGCCTTGAATGGTACCAACCTCCTTGGGCAGCTTCTAAAATACATGCCACTGATTTGAAAACAATAGAGAGAGGCCCTCTAAAGTAGAGAGGTTGCAGAGTTTTATGAGCGAGATTTGTTTCTGGAAAATATTTTTGAATCAAGTGCCTTCAGATATGGGATATTAATTTTATATTTGAAATAGCTTCCTGTAACAGTGTCTATGAACTGTATTAAGTTATAATGTTTTGTGTTTTGCCTCTAAGTTTAGCCAATGTGTTCTGGAAAGCATGATTTGTGGTTTACTTTATTGTGTAAGCTGAACTCATTGTAGTTACTGAATCACGAATAAACAAAATAAACATGTTTTCACTCATCCCTCCCAGGAACAGATACACCCCCTCACCACAATGAGGCAGCACAGCAGGACATGGAGAAATTTGTGGCCCTGTTTATATAACATTTTAAATCATGATTTATTTAACAATGGTTTACAATTTGAAAGTTTCATGCAACTTACTACTTAATAAATGCAAGTCAATCAACCACACAATCTTGATTCACTTAACTGATTAAGACCCAAAGAAGCAAAACAAATTTTTATTTAGGCTATTGTACAAACAAAACCTATATGTGACAAAGAGAAAAGGAAAAACACAGATTTTTAAATGTTGTTTGGAAAATACTTTTCTTTCTTTATATGTAAGAAAATTTAATCACTTCATAAGCTAAGATGTTGCTAGTGATGGTCCTGCTTTAGAGTCCATTCATAAAATTTGTACTAAATAAAATTTGCTAGACAGACTAAAGCCTGAAAAGTTGGAATAAAATCAGATTGGCTAAAATAAAGGTACCCAGCCTTGGACTTCAATTCCAGAATTCCCCAGCTAGCTATTCTGGTTGAGGAATCATGGGAGTTGAAGTTCACAAGTCTTAAAGTTGCCAAGGTTGACAGCTCTGGGTTAAAGTGTCATTCTATCTTCCCCAGTGGCAAGAAACAACTCTTTGATGTTACAATAAATATAATTCCTGGTAGTAGAAGAAGACTTGCTTCTGCCCATTACAGTATACCCAGAGATAAATGAACTTATAAATGCACGTGTGAACCAGGAATTCTCAGCTCTTGGCAGGGAGGACTTATAGTTCAAAAAAATATGACTGTGGGCAACAGGATCCAACAGCAGATGGCACTGAAACCCAACAGGTGGAGGATGCATGTTAAAGCCCCAGTATGGGGGGCTGCAGTAAGGGAGAAATGAGAACCTGACCATAGACTAAATCAGGTATATGTTGGCTCCAGATTATTCTTACCTGCCTGTGTTTATGGCACAAAGTAGGTTACAAACATACCAGATTATGGCTTAGGAAGTCATGTGAAACCCATCCCTTCTGGTCTGCAATGTTTTATGGTTCAGCATTTTAGGTGAAGCTAGCCAATTGTGAGTTATGGCTGGTTTGGTCTAGTGGTCAGGGCACTGGACTAGTAGTGTAGAAACTTCACTTCTAATCCCAATTTAGGCACAAAGCTAGCAGGATGACCTGGAGTCAGTCAGCACTCTCAGCTCTAGGAAGAAGGCAAGGGCAAACCACTTCCGAAAACACTGCCAAAAAAGTGGTATTAACACTGGCAAAAGAAAGATGAACTCATAGGCACAAAACCCCCAAACCCCCACATTGAACACAGGTTTGGCCTGTTACATATAGACCAGGGGTTCTCAACCTTGGCAACTTTAAGACTTGTGGACTTCAACTCCCAGAATTCTGGGAGTTGAAGTCCACAAGTCTTAAAGTTGCCAAGGTTGAGAACCCCTGATTATAGACCATCATCTGCTGTTGTGGGATAGTAGTCTCCTTATCTCCAGTTCCTGTGTAAAAATAGGATTCCTGTCTCCATGACACAGAATAACATAGTTGGGAGGGACCTTGGAGGTCTTCTAGTTCAGCTGCTCCTCTCTTCTGCATCCTTTAGACTGCAGTCTTCAAGCTGAGCTCTGTTTCCAGTGGCTTCATGAACACAGCCATGGTATTTCTTGTCAAGAATGAAAATAATTCCCAGTGCTTTCATCCAAGCAATGTTTTTTGGCTTCCCCAACAAGCCTACGGCCCTATTCTTTACTGGTAGTCTTCCATCCAGATCTAATTCAGGTCCTCTGGTCCTTAGCTCTTGAGCTAAGACACTCAGAGCCAGTGTGGAATGGAATGGCATAGAAATCTTAATAATAAAATAATAAAAATGTAAATATTTGCTTGGCCTGGAGATATTTAAGTGATGTCCACTTAAATATGAGCCAGCAGTGTGCTGCAGCTGCCAAAAAAGCCAATTCAGTGCTGGGCTGCATTAACAGAGGGATAGAATCAAGATCACGTGAAGTATTAATACCACTTTACAATGCCTTGGTAAGGCCACACTTGGAATACTGCATCCAGTTTTGGTCACCATGATGTAAAAAAGATGCTGAGCCTTTAGAAAGAGTACAGAGCAGAGCAACAAAGATGATTAGGGGACTGAAGGCTAAAGCATATGAGGAACGGTTGCTGGAATTGGGTATGTCTAGTTTAACGAAGAGAGGGACGAGGGGGGACATGATAGCAGTATTCCAATATCTCAGGAGTTGCCACAAAGAAGAGGGAATCAAGCTATTCTCCAAAGCGCCTGAGGGCAAGACAAGAAGCAACGGATGGAATCTAATCAAGGAGAGAAGCAACCTAGAATTAAGGAGAAACTTCCTGACAGTTAGAACAATTAACCAGTGGAACAACCTGCCTCCAGAAGCGGTGAAAGCTCCCACACTGGAAGTTTTTAAGAAGAGAATGGACAGCCATCTGTCCGAAATGGTGTAGGGTTTCCTGCCTGAGCAGGGGGTTGGACTAGATGACCTCCAAGGTCCCTTCCAACTTTTTTATTATTATTATTATTATTATTATTATTATTATTATTATTATTATTATTATTATTATTATTATTATTCTGTTCTGGTTATAGACTAGATAACCTATCTTAACACCAGACTAGATAACCTATCTCAGTTCCTCATCTGCTGTCAAATGCTTGGTAGCCAAATCCATCCAAAAGCAAGATTTTTATGGAGTTTCTCTAGTTACATTTATTACAAAGGAAGGGCTCCTTTTGTTTCTGGGATCTAATTTATCTGACTTTGGGAGGGCAAAGCTTCCTTCTTTTTCTTGCTCAAAAGACGAACAGGAAAGCTAGCTTTCAGGTTTTCAGATAATAATGTCCTGAATTCACAATATTTTCCTAACTGCCACCCTCTTTCCCAGGGGATATAACATTGGCAGTAGAAAAATAATTACATTGGCTTTGGGTTAGCTTATAGGACTATTTTGTTTCTAGCACAAGACCCAGCTCACTTGACCTGGGTTAAAAGCATGTTCAGTTAACCATGAGTAATAATTGTGCCATGTGAAAATAGTCTAAAAGAAAAGCTCAGTAAATTGAAAGACAATTCAGAGAGGATGAATCCTCTCTTTTAGATGAGCTCATCCGATTGGATTCATAATTCATTCATCACACAAGCCTAGCCAACCTACCATTATCATAAGTATTCCTTATATATTTTTTTTCATAGAGGAGGACAACACACATCCTTATCTTTCTCCTTACTCAATGTTGAACCATTTACTAAAAATTCCATTTATTCTTACATGTTTTACTTCCATTATATATCGTGCTCCTCACATTTAGCAGCCAATCTTCTGTTCCATACTTGGGTAAAAAAAATTCCATAAATTAAGCCTATTTGCTTTATCATATGCTTTCTCTATATCAACAAACCCATGCATTTCATATTGATCTCCTGAAAAGCAAAATCTGGACTGCACAATTGATATCCAGCAGAAATTGCACTTCATTTTCCAATTTTGATCATTAGCACCTTTTTCTCTTTTGATTAGAATTCTGTTTATTTCTGTCAAAAATTGTAGAAAAGGGTTTTGATATTTCAGTAATCTAAAGTTTTAAGCATTCTTCCAAGTGATTTTTCTTACAGGAAAAAAAAGACACTGGTTTAAAATGGCTATCACAATCTCCAAATTTGAATATTTTTGAAAATATGAAACATGTAGAGCATGCAAAACGAGAGTATTTCAGAATTAGAACAGTTCTGCAAGAAAGAGTGGGGGTACATTTTTTGTTTAAAAAAGTCAATAAGGGCATAATATAAATAAATCAAGAAATAAATAAAAATAAATAAAATGAAAACATTCCTAGCTGGCTATAGGAGAATGTTCAGAAGAACTTATTTTTGTCAAAGGAGATGTTATAAAGTAGTGATTGAATGCGTCCACCTTTACTTTTTCTTATTCTGAATCTGTAAACAGCTGCATATTTATTTATTCACTCATTTCTGCACAGCTGCATTAACATGAGTATAAACTCCAGATTACAAAAGTCCCACTTTGACACCAGTTTCTCACACCAAGAAACAGGATGGTAGCCACCATATAAACAATGTCCAGGTGCAATCTCAGTCTGCTTTCTCAGAAAAGTCAAACTTCTTTTCTTCTACATCAAAGAGTAGGGAAAGAAAATAAAAAATTCAGTGCTTAGTTAAATGTATGCAAAGTTCTCCTTTGAAGGCAAAAGTAGTGGAAATTATTGTCTTGTCTTTTTAGTTGTTCTCTCTAATAAATATTACAGTAGAGCCAAAGGAAACTTGTTCCTTTGAAGTTCATTTCCAGCCCTGATTCTGCAGGAGGACTCAGACATGTTCTACTCCATCTCAGTCAGGACCTTCTTAGAATGCAGTGTCTAGTTCTAGGCAGCACAGTCTTAAAGGGACTCAACAAACTGAGTTCTGGAAAAGAACCAAGTCTACCAAGAAGTTGAAGAGTCTGGAAACCAAATTCAATATATATCTAACCTGCAAAAAAGAAAAGAAGACAATTGAAGGGAGTTATAAAAGCAGTTTTCAACTTTATAAAGGGTTTCATATAGAGGAAGAAGTAGACTTCTTCTGTGTAACCCAGAGGTAGGAACAGAATCAACATTCCCCACCATCTAGTCAGAGATGAAGAAGCTTCTTGGATGAGAAGTGAAACTTCTTCAAAGAAAAACAAGAAAGCCCAGTTGCCTTCTGAAAAAGCACCTTTGGGACAACCATGACCTGGATGACTGAGAATCTCCATAGACAACAGAATCAACAGGTTATATGAACAGATTCAGGTTTGTTTGTTTATTTATTAATAGATTTAAAAAATGCCTGACTTCAACTGATTCTGGGCACTTTACATAATAAAAATAGAACAATAAAAAGAAAACGTTATAAGTATCCAGAAAAATTAAGATCTGTCAACTGGAAGAATAGGTTACTCCCATGAAGTATATTTATTTTACAGGGTTTATAAGCCACTCTATTACAACTTCCTTCACTAGAGGTTTTCAAACAGAGATTGGATAGCCATCTGTCCAAAGTTATGTAGAAGATTCTGCATTGTACAAGGGGTTAGACTAGATGATGTCCAAAATCATTTCCATTATTCTATTATTTTGTGGCTGAGTGCTGTGCCTGAATCCAGATACTTTCTT